AAATTCAGACCTGTAATAAAAAATAATAAAGTTCTAGATTTTGTAGGTTTTAAAGTTTTATGTCTCATCAAATATATGACATGTGTACAGGGTAAACACCCTGAAATAAGCGCGTTCCTTGAAAAGGACGATAGAGATTAAGCAACTGATGGTCTAAATGCCTCTGTTGTCGAGAAAATTAATTAAGAATTAATGTAAGCCGACCCTATGCATTTTGTGCACGTGTACAGACAGAACGGACTTATTTCAGAATCTCTACTATAATCAGAAAAAGGAGAAGATTCCAATAAGTGACAAATATTCCGGGTAGGTAGTCCATTATAAAAAGCAAGACTTTGGTTTAAATCTTCTAAATGCAAGAGTCAATTGCTTTTTTATACATTTCTTTGACATCGCAACAAAGTTTCTTATAACTTCGGTATTTGCCATTTTTTTCTAAATAGAAAGGTAAAAAATAAAAGGAGGAGCAGATTTTTATGTGAACTACCCGATACATTTGTATAGTGCTATCCAAAAGGTTTGCACCGTATGGGAAAAAACTTTATGTATAAATTTAATAAATTCCTTCGATTGTCTGTTGTCTATGCATGTCGTCAAATCAAAATAGCGCCCATCGAACCTCATAAAACGTTTGTTATATACGAGGGGCAGACGAAAACTGCAAATCGGCCCAAGAGTAAAGTACCCTTATTTTCGACTCTGAAGAGAATGTTATAATGAAAAGTTATTTCTCTGTAAAAGATTGGTCCAAATATAAAGTTTCAGTTCATTATGTTGAAAAAGCGATTCCTGACATTTTTGCAACTTTCCCTCGTTCCATAATTCGAGCGAAAACATCCATTACTAGTCATGTTTTTTTAATACGCTTTTACGAGAAAAACATAATTCCTAAAAACAAGTTGAATCAGGAACTAATAAGGCCGTTAAAAAAATTGGGTAGAAAATAAGAACAAATTTGGTGCAAACTTTATTTTATGTTCAAGAATAATAATTTAAAGAGGGACTATAGAATAAACTTGGTAATAATAAAATAGAGGTTTTACCATTTTACTCAGTTTTTATATTATTTTTGAACATAAAATAAAGTTTGCACCAAACTTGTTCTTATTTTTTGCACCATTTTTTATAACGGCCTTATTAGTTCCTAATTCAACTTGTTTTCAGGAACTATGTTTTCCTCGAAGAAGCGTACTAAAAAAACCTGACTTTAGTTATGGATGTTTTCGTTCGAATTATGGTACGAGGGAAAGTTGCAAAATTGTCAAGAATCACTTTTTCAAGATAATCAATTGAAACTTTATATTCGGGCTAATCTTCTCTAGAGAGAAATAACTTTTCTTTATAACATTTTTGCCTAGGGTTGAAAATAAAGGTACTTTATTCTTGGGCCGATTTGCAGTTTTCGTCTGCTCCTCGTATATAACAAACGTTTTATGAGGTTCGATGGGCACTATTTTGATTTGACGACATGCAGAGACAATTGACAATCGAAGGAATTTATTAAATTTATACATAAAGTTTTTTCCCATTTGGATAGATAATGCATGATATTGGTGTGTATTTCTGTAATTAGGTTTTTCCTCTTATAATAATAAAAAATATTTATTATTAGTGTTTTTTTTTTTTCTGGAGAACAAGCTGATTGTGTACCGGCCGGCGCGCTTGCGGATCTGAATATGTTCCCGATGAAAGCCTTCGACCGCGGGGTAGAAAAGACACTTAACCGCTTAGGGCGATTAAATGCGCCCATATGGCCGCTCTGGCCGCCGAAACATCGCAGTTTCCCAGCCGGGCGATGTTATCAGGAACCAATCAATCCTAATAAAGCACGCTAGTTGGGATATTATAAGTTGGGCATCCATTAGGGCGGCTTCCGGCGAGCTTCTGCGTCTTACCTCACTTCCGGAACTTGCCCTCCGGAGCCGGGAATAATTCAGGACCAACTTGCCACTTTAAGCCTTAATGAATAGGTAATTAGTTAATATTGTGCCGGCTTCCTCTTGTCCACGCCGGGCCTGGGGGTCCGGGCAAGACTGCGCGGCCGTCTTGGGACCCATTACGGGCCCCGCGACCAACTTCCCATTGTTCGCCCAAGGAAAGGATTCCAATTGAATTAGCCCTAATCACGGGAGATTATTATGGATCGATGTAGGCCGGTGTCTTCGGCTGGGCGGCCGGCCCGAAACAATGCCCGGACTAAAGCGTGGTTCCGGTTACCGGGGATGCCGCTACTACCATTTTTCTGCCTTCCCACCCCTGTTTAGCGTCCCAAACTTGATACTCTGAGGGATAGGCAACTATCCGAAAAAAATTTGTACCTAGTTGTTTAGTGGCGTAAGTTGTTTGATAACACTCCATTCTGAAACAGAATAAACAGGTGAAAATATTACCTGGAATAGGGTGCTTCACAACTTTTTAACTTCACAATAAATAGATTAAAAATATGACACATGAAATATGAAAAATACGGAATATATGAAATATACATAAAAATTTAACCCGGTCTTGTTCGTCTTCTTTTTCTTCTTCATTTTGTTCTTGTTCCTGTTACTGTTTCTGTTATTGTTCTTTTTCACATTGCTCAACGATAGATTGAAAATTTAACGTTTTAAATTAAACTAAACTATAACTTAAAAGAAACGTCGAGTGGATAGATTGCATAAAGTTAATTAACAAAAGAAAAAAATTTGACAAAATAAAGTTATTGTAGTTATAATAAAGCCAAGGGGAGAAATTTTAGGCTGATCTATTTAATTAATTGCACCTGGTATGATTTAAAGTAACTGAGACTATTAAAGAACCCTAAAATAACGTCAAAATTCTAGTTAAAAATAACATGTATTAAAGGGACATTTAAATGGTTCTTCATTTAAAGGTTAAAGTATCAGTAAATACAATTTTAACGTTCGTGTTTTCACTGGGTGTTCTTTTCTCCTGCTTTTGCTCCTGCATCTGTTCTTGCTTTTGTTCTTGTTCCTCTTGTTTGTGTTTTTATCTTGTCCTTTTTCCAATTCGAGTTTACTTTTAGTTCTAGATCTAGATCTAGTTATAGTTCTAATGCTAGTTCTAATTTTAGTTCTAATTCTAGTTCTAATTCTAGTTCTGGTTCTGGTTCTCTTTATAGTTCTTGTTCTCGTTGTCGTTCTCGTTCTAGTTCTCTATCTAGTTCTAGTTCTGATTCTCGTTTCTAGATCTAGACCTAGATCTAGATCTAGTCATAGTTCTAATTCTAGTTCTCAGTTCTAATTCTAATTCTAATTCTAGTTCTAATTCGAGTTCTAATTCTATTTATATTTCTAATTCTAGTTTCAATTCTAGTTCTGGTTCTTTTTCTAGTTCTTGTTCTTGTCCTTGTCTTTGTCCTTGTTCTTGTTCTCGTTCTTGTTCTCGTTCTTGTTCTCGTTGTCGTTCTCATTCTCGTTGTCGTTCTCATTCTCGTTGTCGTTCTCATCCTCGTTCTCGTTCTCGTTCGAGTTCTAGTTCTAGTTCTCATTCTTGTTCAAGTTCTCGTTCTTGTTTCTAGATCTAGTTAGAGTTCTAATTCTAGTTCTAGTCTATGCATGTCGTCAAATCAAAATAGCGTCCATCGAACCTCATAAAACGTTTGTTA